GATGAAGACATGCTCCCTGCTTCTCATTCCTTATATTTATTCCACCACAGTGCTAGGGTGCAACAGGCTACTTCAACCTGGTGCCATCCAGAAGTTTCAGACTAAAAAAGAGAAAAGTTTCAGACTGGCAGCTCCCAGATGGGGGAAGCCCAGTGCCAGATTTACGTATAAGCTAAACAAGCTATAGCTTAGGGCCCCACTTTTTATATGTCCAGCTGTCCTTTGTCAACAACAAATTGTCGCTGTTTTTTTGTCTTGAATATATGCTAAATGGTAATTTATGGACCTAATAGGTATCTAAAGCCATTTGCGCATGTTGCCATGCAACCAGTCTGTGCAGAGTGTAGGCACCCTATACAGTGGTGCCTCGCAAGACGAAATTAATCCGTTCCGCGAGAGTCTTCGTCTAGCGGTTTTTTCGTCTTGCGAAGCAAGCCCATTGACGGATTAGCGCTATTAGCGCTATTAGCGGTTTAGCGGCTATTAAAGGCTTAAAGGCTTAGGGGATTAGCTGCTAAAAGGCTATTAAAGGCTATTAAAGGCTTAGCAGATTAGATAAAGGGGGGGGAAAGCGAAAAAAAAATCTCAAGACTCGCAAGGTATTTCCGTCTTGCGAAGCAAGCCCATAGGGGAATTCGTCCTGCGAAGCAACTTCAAAACGGAAAACCCTTTCGTCTAGCGGTTTTTCCGTCTTGCGAGGCATTCGTCTTGCGGGGCACCACTGTATAGAGAAAGGAGCAAACCAGTGATATTTGAGGGAGCAGGCTAGCAGGTGGGGGCCATTATTTACATCATAGGAGCCTACACAACACAAAACACTATATGTTGGTTTTATTTTATTTGTTTTTTATCTTATATTTTGGAAATGTACATCCAGTGTTTTTTTCCTTTAAACTTTTTTGGGGCCCCCAAGAGAGTGGGGCCCTAAGCTATAGCTTGTTTAGCTTATATGTAAATCCGGCACTGGGTGGTATACATGGTTCTCTTCCTCCCCACTTCTCACAACAACCCTGTGAAGTAGGTTACACTAAGAGGTGGTGATTGGCCCAAAGTCTTCCAGGGAGCTTCATGACCGAGTGGAGATTTGAACCCCGTTCTGCTAGGGCAATCATTGTTACATGCCACCCCAATCTCCAAGCAGTGCAAGATCCCACGGGTTCCATGTGCTTGCCCAGGGTTTATGTTTCCTTTGCAAGAAGGTACAGCGTTGACTGGTGTCTTTATGATATAATGTTCATTTACACATATATACAACCTGAGCCTACGATGGAGGGGTTCACAGCAGTCGCGCCCCCAAGGGGTCTTTCTTCTCCCATGGCCACAGCCTTGGATTCAAACAGAAATCAAACATTGCTCTGTCTCTCTGGCTTCCCAGCCTACTCCTTCCAGCTTCTACCTTCTAGAAGCTCACTTAACTCAAACCTCTCAACTCTGCCTTTGTTTTTCCAACAACTGGAGAGTTGAGCGAGGGGGCCCAGCCAGTTGGTATCTGGCACAAAGCCACTTCCTTTGTTATCTTAATGGCTCATAACACTATTTTTTGCACATACATTTGCAGTGAATATTTTATTTTATTTTTTGTCTCCCTCCCACTTCTTTCCCCTTGGCAGCAGCTTTTAATTGAAGCGTGGCTGCTGTGAAAATAGCAGAGGGAAGAAACAGGGATGCTAATTGCTTCGGTTGGAGTGGAAGGGGAGAGGAAATGGGCTTTGCTTTTCCGTAAGTACAAAGGCTCCTTGACGGAGAGAGAGAGGAGGCAGGCAGGCAGCAGCAGCCTTTTCTTGAGGGAGATGCTTTTGGGCACCAACGTTTCCCCGACAAGACGGGTATTATCAAAATTGCTAAATGCTTCTTTTAGCTCCTCTGACGGAATTGCAGATTTATTTTTTGTTATGGCCCTCTGCGATTGTTGCTGGGTGATGAAACAAAACGCAAAATGGTTTATTTCGATGTGGCCTGGTGGTTTTCAAAGGCGGCATGGAGACGAGGAGTGGGGGTGGGGTGCCTTTATGAACCTGGGGCCGGGAGGGGAGAAAGAACTGCATTTGCATGTTTAAAAGCAGCCAGGTTCCCAAAGGCGAGAGTCATTTACAGTGGTGCCTACTGTCAGGTACGGCTGCCGCATCAAGAGCATCCCAGACCCTTGAGCTCTCGGCTATGAAGTTCACTGGGTGAGAGAGTTTGGTTTTGATATCCTGCTTTATCACTTCCCTAAGGAGTCTCAAAGCGGCTAACAATCTCCTTTCCCTTCCTCCCCCACAACAAACACTCTGTGAGGTGAGTGGGGCTGAGAGACTTCAGAGAAGTGTGACTAGCCCAAGGTCTCCCAGCAGCTGCATGTGGAGGAGCGGGGAAGCGAACCTGGTTCCCCAGATTACGAGACTACCGCTCTTAACCACTACACCACACTGGCTCTCACTGGGTGTTATCTCAAAAGCCGGTTGCTGCCTCTTGGTCTAACCTTCCTCACAGGGCTGTTGTGAGGAAGAGAAGGAGAAGGAGAACCATGAGCACCACCTCGAGCTCATTGGAGAAAAAGGTGGGGGTGCAAATAAAAGGAATAAAATAAACAATAAGAATAACGCAGCCAACCAGCCTTGGTTGGTCCACATAGCAGTGGTCAGCAAACTTTTTCAGCAGGGGGCCGGTCCACTGTCCCTCAGACCTTGAGGGGGACCAAACTATATTTTGGGGAGGGGGGAGAAAGAATTCCTATGCCCCACAAATAACCCAGAAATGCATTTTAAATAAAAGGACACATTCTACTCATGTAAAAACGCACTGATTCCGGGACTGTCCGCAGGCTGGATTGAGAATGCGATTGGGCCAGATCCGGCCCCTGGGCCTTAGTTTGCCTACCCATGACACAGGCTCTGCCTCGTTAGCAAGAGATCCCATAATCTACTGAACTGCCTTCACCCCCCTTCTTTCCGCATTTTCTTGGCTCCACTAAGAAAATAACTTAATCCCGGCTTTACGGTCCATCTCCTATCGTTACCCTTATCATTAAAACTCTCTCTTCTGTCCAGAATATCTATTCAGCTGCCTGGAAACTCATCCCTGGGCTGCCTCCCTCCCTCTAGATTCGACTCAGTTTGCCTTTAAAGGTGAACCTACTTAATTCACATTGGTCATAGACAAAATAAGAACTGAAACACAACCATCCTTTGAAATTTGCACGTCTCGGAATTCTCCAATTCTCTACTTCAGTCAAGGAAATGTGCACAAAATTATATATACCATAGGAAAATGTGCTAAGAAATGCACATATATATATATGCATTTCTATGCACAGCTATGCATATGCATAGCTGTGCATAGAAATGCATTGAAAATGTGCATTACACACACACATATGAAAATAACATTCAAAAGTACTTTATATTAGGGGAAATGGCATTGCAAAAATGGCATTTCATGGATCAGGCAAAACCACATCTAAAAATGTGATTACTCGGCTTGGTGTCCTGAGTTCCTACCGACCCTCACCATACATTGAAATCACTACAATACCAGTTGAAGCCATCATGGTTTCCCCCCAAAGAATCATGGGAAGTGTAGTTTTGTCCACGGTGCTGAAAGTGTCCCCCATCCCCCTCACAGAGCTACAGTTCCCAGAGTGGCTTCACAGTCAATCCCTCTTCCCAGGGAATTCTGGGAACCAGAGCTCTGTGAGGAGAAGGGGGGGGCTCCTAACAACTCCCTTAAACTACATTTCCCAGAATTCTGTGGGGGAAGCCACACCTGTTTAAAGTGATATAGCTGTGCTTTAAGTGTACAGTGGTACCTCTGGTTGCAAACAGGATCCTTTCCGGAGCCCTGTTCGCATCCAGAAGCGAACGCAACCTGCATCCGTGGGTCACAATTTGACGCTTCCGTGCATGTGCCTGATGTCATTTTGACTGTCTGTGCATGCGCGAGTGGCGAAACCCGGAAGTAACACGCTCTGTTACTTCCGGGTCGCCGCAGCGCGCAACCCGAAAATACTTATCCCGAAGCTACTTCAACCCGAGGTATGACTGCACAGTGGTACCTCTGCTTGTGAATGGGATCCGTTCCAGAGGCCTGTTCACAACCTGAAAGGAACACAACCCGCGTCTGTGCGTGCGCGGGTCGCGATTCGCCGCTTCTGCGCATGCGCATGACATCAGTTTGCGCGTCTGTGCACGCACGAGCGGCAAAACCCGGAAGTAACCCTTTCCAGTACTTCCAGGTTGCCGCGGGACGTAACCTGAAAGAACGTAACAAGAAGCAGATGTAACATGAGGTATGACTGTACTAGCGTAAATTATTTTTTTATTTAAATAGTCCCATTTAAAAAGAAGAAAATATAGAGCCCTGCATTTGGTGGCTTTCTGATACAGTCATACTTCGGGTTAAAGTTGCTTCAGGTTGAGTGTTTTCAGGTTGCGCTCCGTGGTGACCCGGAAGTACAGTGGTACCTCGAGTTACATACGCTTCAGGTTACAGACTCCGCTAACCCAGAAATAGTACCTCAGGTTAAGAACTTTGCTTCAGGATGAGAACAGAAATCGTATTCCGGCGGCGCAGCAGCAGCAGGAGCCCCCATTAGCTAAAGTGGTGCTTCAGGTTAAGAATAGTTTCAGGTTAAGAACGGACCTCCAGAATGAATTAAATATTTAACCCGAGGTACCACTGTAATAAGTTTACTCGCACTCAGTTCACAGTATGATCCTGAAGTCAGGCTTAAGCTTGTAGCTACAGAAGAGAGTGTGGGTCTATCCTGTATGGGGATTCAGCCCATGCGCTACTGCGGGACACAACCTAAAAACGCTGAACCTGAAGCAAACATAACATGAGGTATGACTGTATGGTGCAAATGTGGCCCTAGACTCTGCTCATGTGAAGGGCACTCAAGAGTAAAAATATCTGACAGAACTTCCCATTAAGCATGGAGGGTGGCACAGCCTGCGTTCGCCTCCTTCCCGGCATTCTTAGCACTTAACACGTACATCATTTTCCAATCTGCCGGCCAAACGGGTACCACGAGCTGGGCAGCTGGCACTCTCCAAAAGGTGGATTTGCTGGGAGGAAAACTTCACCCCGGCCATTAGCAAAGTGTTTCCGACAGGTGAGTCAGTCGGACACTGGGGCGCACTTCTTAATGAGTTCGTTTCTGGCGTCAGCTTTTAAGGGAAAAGGTTATGTAAGACGGAAAGAAGAAAGGGGCTTATCTGTCCTCCCCACACTTTGTCGCTCAAAATAGCAGCAGGTCATCCCCAGGGATGCTTCCAATTTTGGATTTGGCAGTCCCGTGATACGAAAGGTTTCCATGCCTGCCAAGGCAGGATTTAACCCGTCGAGCCAAAAACTGCTTTTTGAGCGTGGAATTCCCCCAGCGCTTCATGGACTTATTAGTAAAGAGTGCCTCTGAGAATGTGCAGCGGGCCTTTTCCTGCGGGCTATATGACTGCTGCCAGGTTCATCATATGCCAGCTGCTTTCAGAGGCAGAGAGTTTAGCTCATGAGTAGGCAAACTAAGGCCCGGGGGCTGGATCCGGCCCAATCGCCTTCTAAATCTGGCCCATGGACAGTCTGGGAATCAACGTGTTTTTACATGAGTAGAATATGTCCTTTTATTTAAAATGCATTTCTGGGTTATTTGTGGGGCCTGCCTGGTGTTTTTACATGGGTAGAATGTGTCTTTTTATTTAAAATGGGATATTTGTGGGGTATAGGGATTCGTTCATTCCCCCCCAAAAAAGTATAGTCCGGCCCCCCACAAGGTCTGAGGGACAGTGGACTGGCCCTCTCCTGAAAAAGTTTGCTGACCCCTGGTATAGCTTCTTAAACACAGGTTCCTACTGTGGAGAACAAGCTGCTTCTTTTAAAAATTCAGATATGGATCAGGCTTCCCACATGTAAAGTCACTCGAATAAGTATGAGACAAATCTCCAGTCTTCTTTGTTGACGAATTGATCCTGTCTGCCAAGCTGCCTGCTTGCCTCTTAACCTGTTGTACAAGACTGCCACATCCCTTTATGAAACTGACCCTCTCAAGATATCCCTGGACTTCCCATAGTTTGTGGAGCACAGGAAATATAAGAACCTAAGAAGAAGAGGGGACGTGGGTGGCGCTGTGGGTTAAACCACAGAGCCTAGGGCTTGCCGATCAGAAGGTCGGAGGTTCAAATCCCCGCGATGGGGTGAGCTCCCGTTGCTCGGTCATTGCTCCTGCCAACCTAACAGTTTGAAAGCACATCAAAGTGCAAGTAGATAAATAGGTACCGCTCCGGCGGGAAGGTAAACGGCGTTTTCGTGTGCTGCTCTGGTTCGCAGAAGCGGCTTAGTCATGCTGGCAACATGATCCGGAAGCTGCACGCCGGCTCCCTCGGCCAATAAAGCAAGATGAGCGCCGCAACCCCAGAATCAGCCAAGACTGGACCTAATGGTCAGGGGTCCCTTTACCTTTGCCTTACTCATAAGATGATGATGATGATAGGAACTGTCTGGGAAACAGAGGGTGCTTTTGTATTAGAGTTTCTGAGTCTTGGGAAGTTTAGGGGGTCTGCTAGGGAAAAAATCAGTCTGCTTTGATCTTGGACAATGAAAAGGCAGCTGGAATTTAGCCTAGCTTTCCCCAGCAATTTGTGTGCAGGTCAGACCTAGGAGTGCGGGGTGCACTGGCTCAGAACAATTAAAACTGCACTTGTTTGTTAAGGCCTGCAGGAAGCTTTCAGATATTCAAGCAATATCCAGGGTGCCCCACAAAGACAGAGCTGGAACTATTCTTCTTTTCTGCGCTTCAAGGGCTTCCTAACAGCCAACAAGAGCAGCCGAAGCAGCCCCCAGGTACTCCATGCCACCCAGATGAAGTCATCGCAGGCAGACCAGGTTGGCCAGAGCCCACGAAACGCCACCCTCACCTGCTGTGTGTTTGGATAGCAGAATGGGGACAAGGTGTGCTGGAGGAGCTTCCAGTTCCCTGGCCAAAACAGAACAAAATGTGACTTTTTGACACTGGGAGTTTGGCCAGTAAACATATTGTGACATGATACCCTAATCTCCGCGAGGCGGGAGACTTCAGGGGTTCCTGGTGTTGGCATGAAGCTCAATGGAGGCTGATGTCTTTAGAATCATAGAATTGTAGAGGGACCGCAAGGGTCATCTTGTCCAACCCCTACAATGCAGGAATCTTTGGCCCAATGTTGCATTCTGTGTCCGACTGACCCTGGAAACTGCTGAGAATTCCCTTCCACCTTAAGGAACAGGCATGGGATTGTTACGTGTCACATGTCTGTTTACATTCCAGCACAGTATGCTAGGAACTTCCGTGGTGTGTATAGCTTTTGCTTTTAGCTGTTCCCTCTGAGACGAGGAGGGAGAGAGACAACATGTTTCTTTCTCCTGATTTATGATTAATAAATCTATAGTTGTCGTATGCTTCCACAAGCCTCACGCCTATTCTGTGTGCGCAGTTTGATCTGCTGATAGTGTGCCCTGGCTGAGTAAGCCCTGGTCGCTGATTTCCGTCAGAGCAGAGGTGATGGTCTTTGCATTGGGCAGCTGGAAGGAGACGACCCAGCCAGGGCTAGCCAGCTGGCCTCCCGGCCCTCTGCATGTCGACAGAAACTTCTACATGCAGGGCAGCTGCTCTAGCAATGGGCTATGGCCCTTCCCCAAGCAAATGGAGCTGCCTTTTTCCAAGTCAGACCAGTGCTCCATTCTAGCTCAGTACTGCCTACCAGGCATGGCCAAAGTTGGCCCTTCAGCTGTTTTGGGACTACAACTCCCATCATCCCTAGCTATCAGGACCAGTGGTCAGGGATGATGGGAACTGTAGTCCCAAAACAGCTGGAGGGCCAACTTTGGCCATGCCTGATACACTGACTGGCAGCCAGGAGTCTTCCCCACACCTACCTGGAGATGTTGGAGGACCTTTTCCATGCAAGGCAGCTGCACTGCCACTCAGCTACAGCCCTTTCACTGTTGATATGATGTCATCAGCATGCTCAGCATTGCCCAATCCCCAGCAGCCTGCTTGATTGGCAGCCGCTAGCGGGAAAGGCAGTGAAACTCTGAGTGCGGTGATGTCACTGGGCAGCTGCCAGAAAGGTTAAACAGAGAGAGAGAGATGGAAAGAGATTGCCAGGTGTTTGTCTGCTGTGGGGATTACCACACTTGCGCCATCACACGTTGCCTGAGCTTAATAATTCAAGGTTTATTTATTACCATAACGGTTGATTACTGTTTACTGTAGATGGGGTGAATGAGGTTGTTGGATGAACACGGGACCAGAGTCGTCTCAGGACTGGGCTTTCCGCCCTGAGACACAAGGCAGTGGACCGCGAGAGACCGTGCAAAGGTTGAGAGCGAGGCAGGCCTTGGTAGCACAAGTCAGGAGCAACCTTAAAACGGTCCCTGGCGCTTATCCCTGCTTCACCCCAATGAACTCTGGGACCCAGGACACTTTTTGCAAGAACATCCAACTCCTGCCAAATGTAACCACAGGTTTTCAAGGAGGTGCGGAGTGCTTTTGTGTTTGTTTTTTCTTAACATTGAATTAAGAAATTCATTTATTTACCAGCTCCATCTGGTACGCAGGCTGAGACCCTATCTGCCCACAGGCTATCTCACCAGAGTGGTGCATGTTCTAGTTATCTCCCACTTGGACTACTGCAATGCGCTCTATGTGGGGCTACCTTTGAAGGTGACCTGGAAACTACAAGTAATCCAGAATGTGGCAGCTAGACTGGTGACTGGGAGCAGCTGCCGAGACTACGTAACACCGGTCCTGAAAGACCTTCATTGGCTCCCAGTACATTTCCGAGCACAATTCAAAGTGTTGATGCTGACATTTAAAGCCCTAAATGGCCTTGGCCCAGAATACCTGAAGGAGCGTCTCCACCCCCATCGTTCAGCCTGGACACTGAGGTCCAGTGCCCAGGGCCTTCTGGCGGTTCCCTCGCTGCAAGAAGTCAAGTTACAGGGAACCAGGCAGAGGGCCTTCTCGGTAGTGGCACCTGCCCTGTGGAACGCCCTCCCACCAGATGTCAAAGAGAAAAACAACTACCAGACTTTTAGAAGAGATCTAAAGGCAGCCCTGTTTCGGGAAGTATTTAATGTTTGACGGACTATTGTATTTTAATATTTTGTTGGAAGCCACCCAGAGTGGCTGGGGAAACCCAACCAGATGGGTGGGGTATAAATAATAAGTTGCTGTTGTTGTTGTTATCCTTACTTGCTATATATTTTAGAAAAATCATTTTTCTGTATACATCCAGACACCGCTTAAGATACCTTCACCAGATTTGGCACAAATTGGGCAGGCTTTTGTCGAGGTTTGAGGGGCAAAATGGCGGACTCGGCCTTCCGCAAATGAACTGATTTAGAAGCCTCTTCAGTTTCTTCCATCAAATTTGTCACAGCGGCTCCTGAGATCAAGACGTATGCTTTGTCTGTGTTTAGATACCTGCCGTGACCTCCGGAATATAGCAGTTTCTCAGCCTGTAAGAATCCCACAAGTGGAACATGAGTCCAACATAAGAAAAGCCCGCTGGATCAGGCCAAGGGCTCACCTAGTCCAGCATCCTGTTCTCGCAGTGGCCAACCAGATGCCTGTGAGAAACCCGCAAGCAGAATTCGAATTTTCTTCTGTGGGAAGAAAAGAACTGTGTGAACACATGGTCCGTCCTGCACCTGCCAAACTAGCCTGGAGGGCTGGAGGGCACTATTCTATTGCCAATGCCGAAGTCATCTTCTGTATGGGGAATGGGAGGAAGGTGGGTTCGGGTACCATCTTGCAGGCCGCAAATTGCCTTGGGCCGGCCCTACCGTTGGACAGTGTTAGAGGGGGCACTATGGCCGTGTTTGCATGCCCCGCCCTCCACTTCCATGTGTTGATTGGCCGTAGGTGTGTGTGCGTTTCAAGCCTACCCATGTGGGAGCCTTACACATGCAGGAATTCTCTCCACGCGACCCGACACCCCGCGATTGATTTTCGCCCGGGGCATCAAAATAGCTGGAGCTGACCTAATCCTGCAAGCTGTGACCTGGAGCTAGGAAACCTCTCTCTTTCTCTCTCTACACACACAATGTGTCGAAGTTTATCCTTTCCAATTTGGGCCCAATTGTTCCCACGTCTCCCATGCTTGCACACCTTTAAGTAGATTTTCCCAAAGAGACCGTCACAGCGAGGGATCTGAGCACCAGGAAGCCAAATAACAATACAAGCCAATATGATTTCCCGTGCCTTTTGGACAAACACTCCTCTATAAAAAGGGTTTTCAAGCTGTCTCGTTCCCTCCTCCAGCAACACCCCACCTTGCGGAGCCCGTTCACGTGGCTCTCATTTCAGCCCGGCCAATTCTTCATTATCAATCTTGGCCGGCTTTGTAAATACACAGAGAATATCTCGATTGTTCCCGTATTAGAGACAGCGGAGCCCTGGCGGTGATGAGAAATTACAGGAGCAAGGGCGAAGCTATGCTGAAAGAAAACCGCTGTCTAAATAAAGGCCACGGATGCGCTCTTGTTTTCAAACATTTGTGGGTAAACCTTCCGCCCGCTAGCTGATAAACTGGAACGGCTGTGGTGGCCTTTTTGAACGGGAGTGTGTGTTATTTTCAGGCATGTGACCGGCGGGGAACATTTACCGGTAATCTTGTTCTCCAACAAATCCTTTTCACACCTGCAATAGGAGAACTGGAAATGACATCTGTATGCAGTGCTTTTTTCTGTGGGGGGGACGCAGGGGTACGCATACCCCTAAACATTTTGTGAATCTAACGGGAGAAGAAATTAAAAATCTTTAAAAATTTAGTTTCTTCTCTAGCATGGTGAATTGTCAGTTTGGTTGCTACCCCTGATGGCGGCTTCCTTTTCTTTCCCCTTATTTCCTGAGTCTCAGACGGAAGCGAGAGTACCCCTAAACATTTTTTATAGAAAGAAAGCCCTGTCTGTATGAACTAGGACAAGAGCATGTGAGTCTAAGCTGACTTCAGCTATATGTATTAGTGAAAGCATCTCCCTTTAAAATGTTACTGAAAATTTTAGTGCAAGAAACAAACCCTGCTTTGTGAAATTGGGCATGGCCACGGAAGAAGTGAATAGGAAACAGTTTTCCTCCATCTCTCCTAACACTCAAATACAGTGGTACCTTGGGTCTCAGACGCCTTGGTATTCAAACAACTTGGAACCCAAACACTGCAAACCCAGAACTAAGTGTTCCGGTCTGCGAACTTTTTTCAGAAGCTGAACGTGCTCCATTTTGAGTGTTACGCTTCCAATTTGAGTTCCACAGTTCCATTTTGAGTGTTACACTGAGGTCTGTCTGTTTTTGCTATTTATTTTGCGTTTTTGTTTTTGCAGCTTTTTTGTTTTGTTTTGTTTTTGTGACTGTGTGGAACCAGTTCAGCTACTGATTGATTGATTGATTGATTGATTGATTGATTGACTGCAGTACAGTGGTACCTTGGGTTACATACACTTCGGGTTACATACGCTTCAGGTTACAGACTCCGCTAACCCAGAAATAGTGCTTCAGGTTAAGAACAGTTTCAGGTTAAGAACGGACCTCCAAAATGAATTAAATACTTAATACCACTGCACATTGTTTCTTGCTTTCATTTTATGGATCTCATTAGATAGCAAAATTCATGTTATATTGCTGTTTTAGGGGTTGTTTTTAAAAGTCTGGAACGGATTAATCCATTTTGCATTACTTTCTATGGGAAAGCGTGCCTTGGTTTTGGAACGCTTTGGTTTTGGAACGGACTTCCGGAACGGATTAAGTTTGAGAACCAAGGTACTGCTGTATCTCAAGAGCTGTCACATAGAAGATGGAGCAAGCTTGTTTTCTCCTGCTCTGGAGAGTAGGACATGAAACAACGGATTCAAGTCACAAGAGAGGAGGTCCCAACTAAACATGAGGAAGAACTTTCTGACAGTAAGAACTGTTCAACAGTGGAACAAACTCCTATGAGAGGTGTTGGACTCTCCTTCCTTTGAGGTTTTTAAGCAGAGGCTGGATGGTCACCTCTCAAGGATGCTATAGTTGAGATTCCTGCATTGCAGGGTCCTTTCCAACTTCACCATTCTATGATTCTATGCTTAAAGGTAAAGGTAAAGGGACCCCTGACAGTTAAGTCCAGTCGCAGACGACTCTGGGGTTGTGGCGCTCATCTCGCTTTACTGGCCGAGGGAGTCGACGTTTGTCCGCAGAGTTTTTCCGGGTCATGTGGCCAGCATGACTAAGCCGCTTCTGGCGAACTAGAGCAGCACACAGGAACACCGTTTACCTTCCCACTGGAGTGGTACCTATTTATCTACTTGCACTTTGACGTGCTTTTGAACTGCTATGTTGGCAGGAGCTGGGACCGAGCAATGGGAGCTCACCCCGTCGTGGGGATTCAAACCGCCGACCTTCTGATCGGCAAGCCCAAGAGGCTCAGTGGTTTAGACCACAACGCCACCTGTGCCCCGTGATTCTATGCTTAGACCCATTTAAAGCACTATGATGCCACTTTAAACAGTCACAGCTCCCCCCCCCCAAAAAAAAATCCTGGGAACTGTAGTTGGTTAAGGGTGCTGAGAGTACTTACAAGGCCCCCCTTTCCCTCCCAGAACTACAATTCCCAGAGCCGTTTAACCATCAGTCCCACTTCTTAGGGAACTCTGGGAACTGTAGTCCAGGGAGGGGACTAGGGACCTCCCCAAAAGTCTCAGCTCCTATGATTCTTTATGGGAAGCCATGACTGCTTAAAGTGCTATCATGGTGCTTTAATTGCATGGTGTGAATGTGGACCAGGGATGAGGAACTTGTGGCCTTGCAGGTGTTTCTGGACTACAGATCCCATCATCCCTGACTTTGGGTTGTGCTGGCTGGGGCTGATGAGACTTGGAGTTCAACAACAACTGGGGACCACCAGTATCCCCATCAGCCGTTGAAATCTGTGGGACGAGTAAGTACCTTTGATTTCAGTAGGTCTACTCTAAGCAATTCAAACCAGTGGCTCGTCGCACCAACAGGTGTCGCCAGCCAAGAGAAGGTGAAGACAAGACAGAGTTTTTCATAGTACCGTATTTTTTGCTCTATAAGACGCACCAGACCATAAGACGCACCTAGTTTCTGGAGGAGGAAAACAAGAAAAAAATATTCTGAATCTCAGAAGCCAGAACAACAAGAGGGATCGCTGCGCAGCAAAAGCAGCGATCCCTCTTGCTGTTCTGGCTTCTGGGATAGCTGTGCAGCCTGCATTCACTCCATAAGACGCACACACATTTCCCCTTACTTTTTAGGAGGGAAAAAGTGAGTCTTGTAGAGCAAAAAATACGGTAATTTTGGACAAGAGTGTAGGAAATTTACCAGACATTGTACACTATCTCTCCCTCACACCTGCCCTTGTGGCTTTTGGAAGCGAGCGACAAAAGTTTCCCAGGAAGTCCTAGCAGGGGGTTCACAACAATGAATGGTGAGTTAAGCATTAATTACATGCTGAAGAAATTACAGTCATCCACCAGCTGATAAGGGTTTGCAAATATTTGGGCATATGAAAGGCTGAGGAGGAGATATTACATAACCAAATAAAAGGAAGGAAGCGGTTCTCAGTTTATTTGTGTTTGAACAATTCAGAGATATGGGAACTCAACGTGAGAAAAGCCTTGCCATATCAGAGCAAGGTCAAAAGCCTTGTTTCTCCACAGAGCCAGTCAGGTGCTTTCCGAGAGAAACAGAGAAGAGTAGAAAGGTGGCTTGTATATTTAGATTTCCTTTGTTCGTTACCTGTATGCACCACCGTTCCATCGAAAAAAGGCCCAAGGCAGTTTGCAACCGTAAAATCCGCAACAGAAAATAACCAATCCACATAACACAGTGTTATAAGAATTTTAAGGTCTCAAATATAAAATAAATATTCATATCTAAATATATGAACCATGTGTCTGAAACAGTATGGGAGAGCAATCCAGAAGCCATTTTGACTCTCCCAATGACCTCAAATATTCCTCTGCAGTAAAGGAGGAAAATAAGGAAAACCTTCCTTCCCATTGTCCTTTTGCTTGCAAATCCTGTTTTAAGGGTGTATTTGTGTATGAATTGGGTGAGCCTGTGACCTGGACTCAAGAACTAAAGTATTAACCATCACAAAAGAACGGTCAGGCTGCCCAGGTAGAGCAATCAGTGACCATTATAAGGTATCCTGGCAGATAGGATTTCTGCTGTAGACAGCCTCCTTCTGTGATGTATGCATGATGTGTGCTTTTTTCGGGGGGGGGGGTCTTGGGCTACACTGTGGGCAATTTCAAAAGACTATATAAGGACTTGCGCACCATTGTTCAGGGTTCTCCTCCCTCCTGTGTGCGGTGAGTGGGGACCCCGTTGCAACAGGTCTTTTAATAAAGATCAGGCTTACTAGCCACTTTGCTTTTCAATATACTCTGGCTGGCCTGTTTTCTTCTACTAATAGGGAACCCACTTAAGGACTCTATTCAGGCTCCAGAATACCCCATAAGGGAAAGGGAGCCGTTTTTCTTATAACAGTCACCAGTAACACAAATAACAGCAGGCGCGAAATCAGGAAAAGTGAGTTAGAATCCTAATTTACTTAAGAACACAGAGAGCAGAAGAAAAGAGAAAGTCTTCTGTGGAGAAGGGAGATGTTCAGGAGAACTTCTTTCACACCCTTCTTCCTTGCTCAACTGCTGCACAACACTAGACAGGACTGTGAACATGCTGGGAAGGTGGACTTGGGGGAGCACATCTTTGTTTGAGACTCTATTCTGCCATGCGATGCCCAAAATCAAAACACCCTGCTTGTCCTGGACTGGTTGGACACAGAGGAGTGGTGGGAAAAACCAGCTGGGGAACCCCCAAGGGAAAAAGGCTCAGAGTCAAGGTGATACAACCTTTAGAACACACCTGAAGGCAGCCGTGCCTAGGGAAGTTTTTACACGTTTCATATTTTATTATGTTTTTAGGGCTGGGCACAAAAGTGCCAAAATAAGCTTAGGGCTTATAATCTTCAAATGGAGAACTACTTAGCCCTTAGCCCATGTGACCTTAGAAACTGGATTTTTGATCAGGATGCCAACCAAGACAGAGCCTCCATCATTGTTGCCTGTTACTGTACTTGGTACCCCCAAATTAAGACCACTCACTCAAGGCACAGGATATTGGATATAACATTATGTTTGCTGACTGGGAATGGTTATGGACCACAGGTACGAAGTTCACAGCATGTAATGCTTTAAAAGAGAATATTATGAAAATGGTGTACAGGTGGTACATGACCCCAGTTAAGCTTGCAAAAATCTACCATTTGCCCGACAATAAATGTTGGAAATGTAAGGAAACTGAAGGTACATTCTTTCACCTTTGGTGGACGTGCCCAAAGATTAAGGCCTTCTGGGAAATGATATATAATGAGTTGAAAAAGGTATTTAAGTATACCTTCTTAAAGAAACCAGAGGCCTTCCTCTTGGGCATTGTTGGCCAATTGGTGCCAAAGAAAGATAGAATTTTCTTTATGTATGCAACAGCAGCAGCAAGAATACTCATCGCAAAGTATTGGAAGACACAGGACTTACCCACTCTGGAAGAATGGCAGATGAAGGTAATCGAATATATGGAACTGGCGGAGATAACTGGCAGAATCCGTGACCAGGGAGAAGAGTCGGTGGAAGAAGATTGGAAGAAATTTAAAGTTTATTCACAGAAATACTATAAAATTAATGAATGTTAAATTGAAGTTTGATTGAAAATAACTGGTATTGGCAAAAGCCTTGGGATTAAGAGTATGGAATATTTGACTGATAAGGTTGTAAAAATATTTATATACAAATAGATTAAGTTTTCTGAGTTAAGATAATGAAAGGAGGGTAAGGATTTGCTGAAAGAAGTTCTTAAATGGAAATACAAGCGGGGAGGTGCGGGGAAGTCAAAGAACCAGGTAAAGATAAGAAGGATAAATGAAAGTATAATATTCTTTGAATTTTTTTTTGTCCCCTTTTCTTTTTTTCCTTCTTCTTTTTTTTTTTGTTACGGTTATTTCTGTTTGTTTTTTGTCATGGTCATTGTTGTTTTTTGTTTGTTGAATTTTTGTAATTCTGTATTTTGTATTTTTTTGGAAATTTTTCTTGTAAAACCAATAAATATTTTATAAAAAAAAAAAAAAGACCACTCACTCAAGGCCCCATTACCTTGAGACTCTGACCTTCCCACAACTACGCAGGGCCTTTGCAGAACTAAGATTCCAACAGATGCCCTCGGCATATCAAATCAAATCAAATCAAATATCTTTAATACGGTCAGTGACCAGGAAGCAATTTATAAAATATGACATTAAGAGTAGTATTGTGCTACAAGTAACAGTAAAAATATGGCCAATTCACAGAATTGGTGCTTATATTTATGACCAGGTTTCGAGTTTTAAGTTTTTAAAATTCAATTCAGGAGTCGCTACTGTTTATTATCATTCCTTCGATGTTTACAGTTTGAACTCCTTTGTAGACATCATTGCTCGTCTTATTCTTGTTGCAATGTAACAGTACTTTGCCACGGACCTGTTAATTTCGGGCTCTTTGTCAGCTAAGAGGTGTCTGATATAGGTGTCGTCTGTACTACGAGGTATTTTCCTCAGAATCGGTTCGATCAGCTCTTTTCTTGAGTCTCGATATAATGGGCAGTATAAGATGACATGCCCAATGGTTTCGATTTCATTGCTGTTACAGGGACATAATCTTTGTTCGATCGGTATTTTATTGTATCTTCCCTCTAGAAGAGCTGAAGGGAGAGCGTTAAAACGGGCCCTGGAAAATGCCCATCGGTGTTTAGCGTTGTCTAGAACTTTGAGATAGTTTGCTAAATGGGGCCTTTGGGAATTGTATAGAAGTTTATAAGTTATCGGAAGTTGGTTAAAGTCATTTTGGGTTTCAATGTCCCTGAGTCTTTCTTTGATTATGTTCTTGGCCCTTCCCCTTTCTAAACTTAATAAATACTCTGGGGAGAGACCATATGTGGCCAGTTTTCTGAGAATGCCCTTCAACCAGCTAGATTGGAATTTGTCAAGAAGCATCAGGGAAAGTAGTCCAACCGGCGAGTTGTTAAGTCTTAGCCAAGTGCATAAGGTTCTTATCCATACTTTGGTTTTAATGCTGTATAAGCCCTTGGCATATTTAGAGGGGAGATATCGGGGAATTCCTCCATATGGCTCGCAAATGCATATATGGATGCAATCAGGTAGAGGACATCACATACTATCTGGTGATAAAAAAAATAAGATCGTGGCCAGTGGTCACCTCCTGGCAAATAGAAGGGGAAGAAATGGAGGCAGTGAGAGATTTTACTTTCTTGGGTTCCATGATCACTGCAAATAGTGACAGCAGTCACGAAATTAAAAGACGCCTGCTTCTTGGGAGAAAAGTGATGACAAACCTAGACAGCATCTTAAAAAGCAGAGACATCACCTTGCCAACAAAGGTCTGTATAGTTAAAGCTATGGTTTTCCCAGTAGTGATGTATGGAAGTGAGAGCTGGACCATAAAGAAGGCTGATCTCCGGAGAATTGATGCTTTTGACTTCTGGTGCTGGAGGAGACTCTTGAGAGTCCCATGGACTGCAAGAAGATCAAACCTCTCCATTCTGAAGGAAATCAGCCCTGAGTGCTCACTGGAAGGACAGATCCTGAAGCTGAGGCTCCAATACTTTGGCCACCTCATGAGAAGAGAAGACTCCCTGGAAAAGACCCTGATGCTGGGAAAGATGGAGGGCACAAGGAGAAGCGGATGACAAAGGACGAGATGGCTGGATAGTGTTCTTGAAGCTACCAGCATGAGTTTGACCAAACTGCGGGAGGCAGTGGAAGACAGGAGTGCCTGGCGTGTTCTGGTCCAAGGGGTCACGAAGAGTCGACACGACTAAACGACAATACAATGCCCAGAGGAAAATTTATATCGCCAATTCTTAATTGGCTTCCAGGTCGATCTGCACAGAAGCAATAGTTGAACTCCTAGCAGATAAACATCTATATATTACCCACCAGGGAGCCAGATTTGCGCTGGCAGCCAAGAAGCTCCATTTCAGGTTTGTGAATGCATTCCAATTTAAAAATTTAATGTTGCACATTTCTTTTTATGTCATAAACAGGCTACGTTGTATGATCTTAGAGGAAAGTTTTCCTTTTATTCTCTGTTGTCCATTGTAAAGGCCTTTGGCTATATATAATAAAATTGACCAGACAGAGGTTTGCTCCATTTAAAAAAAAAGGTTTTATATAAATTTGAAGCTGCCCAGAGTAGCTGGGGCAACCCAGCCAGATGAGTGGGGTATTACTGATTATTATTATGGAATAGGATGTCCCTATTTCCATTGGAGAAATATTGGATTTGTTATGTGGGCCCACCTGTGCGAGCCACGAGACTCGAGACAATGAACATCCTTGAGTGGGGCTCATTTCGTCTAGCCAAGGCTGGAGCTCGTATGGAAGAATTTTGCTTTATGGGGCTCAGAATCGTCTGGTGGGAGGATCTGGCCAAAGGAGTGATCTGTTTTCCCGGAGCTTATCTGGCCTGTTTTCTTGGCTGACCAGGCCAGCTGCTGCTCTCATCGGACGGAGCTGATAGAGACGAGTTGTGACCATTATGTGCCGGTCAAAATGACTTTGGGGAGATTGCAGCCCATTGCAAAATCAGCTCAGGGCCGGCCAGATGTGGTTCTCTAAGCGCAAACAAGGGAAGGGGCAGTTAAAGGGAAAGATCCAGGACTAGGCTACAGGAGCAGGATCAGTGCCGGATTTACATATAAATGAATAAGCTATAGCTTAGGGCCCCATTCTTTTGGGGGTGCCCAAAAAAATTAAAGGAAAAAAACTGGATGTTCATTTCCAAAATATAAGATAAAAAGACCATTACTTTGATAAAATACATATTTTGTTATGTGCAAATGGCTTTTGATACCTATTAGGTCCATAAATTACCATATAGCATATATTCAACAGAAAAAACAGCGACAATTTGTTGTTGACAAAGGACAGCTGGACATATAAAGGGCCCCATTACCTTCAGTAGCTTAGGGCCTCATCAAACCTCAATCCGGCCCTGGCAAGGATAAATACCATTTAAGGACAGTGTCAATAGCAAGTTTAGGGGGCTAGGGCCAAGCAGGAGGCAGAGCTTGACGCAGAATGAGAAAGTAGCTAGAGGAGAGGAAGTGTGGTGTAGTGGTTAGAGTGTCGGACTAGGTTCTGGGAGACCCAGGTTTGAATCCCCACACAGCCAGTGCACTGGCTTTCCTTGGAAGCTAATCACTGCCCCTCACCTACCTCACAAGGTTGTTGTAGGGATTAAATGAGGAGGGGAAGAACCACGTACAGAATTCCAGCCAGGCAACTGAGGAAGATTCGGAGCAGAAGTGGCAAAGGGTGTGGTTCGGGGAGAGTTTTGAGGGCCGGACTGAGAAGTCTGGAGGGCCACATTCAAGCTTGTGGAACCTGGTTTTAGAGCCACCAGACAAGTTTTTAAAACATAAAAATAAAAAAATCAAGGTTCTAGAGAAAGAGGGGGAGCAATTTGTTTTTGTTTGCCTTTAAAGGCATAACTATGCAAGTTTCACTTTCCAAATCAGCATGTGGACCGAAACTCAGCCATCCTTTGAAATTCATACTTCTCTGAATTCTGCAACGCAGTTCTCCAGCCAAGGAAGTCTGCAAAAATGCATGTCGTGTGTAAAATCAGCATACAAATGCATATATTGGTGAAAAGGGCATGCAAAATGCATTATGTCAGGGGAAATTGCTGGACCCCGTTCGCATCCAGAGATACCACTGTATTAATTATTATTATTATTATTATTAGGATTGAAGTTGCTGAGCATTTTCCCGGATTTTACCCCAGGACATATCCTGCCGTGGGGGCCAGATTAAATCGACCGGTGGGCTGGATTAGGCCCCCAAAACGAACTTTGGACATGCCTGCCCTACAACCTGGACTGCAGTCCCTAAAACAGTTGGATGGTGACTTGTACTCCTCCTTCCGGCAACATCCGCAGCCCAGCTGGTGCCAAATGTCTTGCTCTGCTTTCCTTTGGACCCCATCAGCGAGGCAGAGAGGAGGGTCTTGTCTCTGGGCAGCCCAGGACCTCCATACCCCCTGCCCAGACTTGTGCCCCGGGGTGCTGCAAACCCAGCAGTTTGACTTTACCCCCAGAGGTGCACTCCATTGTCTGTCAAAACAGACAGATGCCAGCAACAACAATGCCACTCAAAGCAACATGCATTCTTCTTTCCTTCCTCAATTAAACCCCCCAAACATGTGAGGTAGGTTAGTCTGCCAGGCAGCAACTGCACCCTGGGTCATGCAGCAAGCTTTGTGGCGAAGTGGGAATCTGAACCCGGATCTCCCCAGCACTCTAACCACTACACCGCACTGCCTTGTCTCCCCACTGGCTACTTTCTGCCTCTTCTTCCAGCAGTCTCTCCCTCGTGTCTTCCCATCTGCTTCTCAGGGGCAATATGACTCCATCCTCTCCTTATCGGCCGCTGTGTTTTGCAACCCTGAAAAGAGACCGAACATCGATTGCCCATGACCCCTCGTCGTTTCAGAGATTGTGGAATCTGCAGCACAAGAGAAGGAACAGAACATGAAGTTAGCTGTCTGCGTGTTTAAGAAACGGGAGATTAAATGTAATTGCGGTGGGTAAATTTGCTTAGCACTTAGAAGCAATTGCTGCCATTGTTTCGCTCTAACCTTTGGGCCACGCTGCCTCTGGGCTCCACTTTTTACCTGCAGAGGGAGAGGGATGGTTTGAAAAAAAGTTTTCGGCACACCGCTGGCATCTTCTCTGAGCACATTAATCCTGCCCTGAAGCCCAGGACGTTCTAACAGGTCACAAAACAAAACATTTTCAGAACAGGTAAAACTTCACACCTGACAAAGCTTGAATCCGGTTCAGACTGACCCAAAATTACTGTGTCTCATTGATGGCATCTCCTGAATTTCCCTTTTGGAGATGCCAAGGGGGGAGAACAGAATGTTACGCCCCTGAATTACTATATTCTCGGAAGGGATTTAGCTTAGTGGTAGAACACCTGCTTTTTCATGCAGAAGGTGCCAGGATCAGTCCCTGGCATCTCTTGGTAGGGCTGAGATAGACCCCTGCCTAAAAGCCTGGAAAGCTGCTGCCAGCCTGCGCAGGTAATACTGAACTAAATGGACCCAGTGGTCTGAACCAGTATCAGGCATCTTCCTGGGTTCATATGATTGCATAGAAGCAAGGCAGGAATCTCAGCTAAAGGATCCATGATAGATGACCATCCTCTCCAACATACAGCGGTACCTTGGTTCTCAAACTTAATCCGTTCCAGAAGTCCGTTCCAAAACCAAAGCGTTCCAAAACTCAAGGTGCGCTTTCCCAAAGAAAGTACAGTCATACCTCGGGTTACAGACGCTTCAGGTTGCGTTTTTTCAGGTTACGGACGTACCGAAACCCGGAAGTACCGGAATGGGTTACTTCCGGGTTTCGGCGGTCGAGCATGCGCAGAAGCGCTAAATTGCGCTTTGTGCATGTGCAGAAGCACTGAAACGCAAACCGTGCGTGCACAGATGCGCTGCTCCCGCACAGATCACGTTCGCAACCCGAGCGTCCACTGTATTGTAAAACAGATTACAATGGTACCTCAGGTTAAGTATTTAATTCGTTCCGGAGGTCTGTTCTTAACCTGAAACTGTTCTTAACCTGAAGCACCACTTTAGCTAATGGGGCCTCCGGCTGCTGCTGCGCCGCCGGAACACGATTTCTGTTCTCATCCTGAAGTAAAGTGCTTAACCTGAAGCACTATTTCTGGGTTAACAGAGTCTGTAACCTGAAACGTATGTAACCCGAGGTACCACTGTAATCCGTTCCAGACTTTTAAAAACAACCCCCAAAACAGGAATTTAACATGATTTTACTATCTAACGAGACCATTGATCCATAAAACGAAAGCAATGAACAATGTACTGCAGTCACACAATCAATCGGTAGCTGAAGTGGGTTCCACACAGTCACAAAAACGAAACCAAAAGAGCCGCAGAAACAAAATTGCAAAATAAATAGCAAAAACAGACAGACCTCAGTGTGGCAGTCAAAACAGAAGCGTGACACTCAAAATGGAGCACTTTTGGCTTCCAAAAAAAGTTCGCAAACCAGAACACATACTTCCGGGTTTGCACTGTTTGGGTTCCAAGTTGTTTGAGTACCAAGGCGTTTGAGAACCAAGGTACCACTGTATGGAAACAGATTTTGCATTGACCCAATAACAGTGCTTTGGTGATGTGTTCATACTGGACCATCCACACGTCATTCCACTTTACCAGTTATTCTGGGATGCTTCCCTAACATTATTATACTGTGGTCACCTGGGTGGGGCAGTCTTGTGGCGGCCAGGGGCTGGAGTTCATTGTGGAAGTTGGGAGTTGCCAGGATGCCCCTATTGCCCTCAGAGAACTACAATTCCCAGAGTTCCCCAGGAAGGGGGGGTTGGTTGTTAAGCCAGTCGAGAAATTGTAGTCCCGGGAGGGGAATCAGGCGGTCTCCTAATACCTCTCAAACTACCTTATCAAACGGCAGGATTCTTTGGAGGAAGCTGTGACTATAACCCAGCACTGTGAATGGGGCCTTTGTCAGCTGGAGATCACCTTGTGCTGGTCAAGCATCGGAGCTTCCTTCCTAGCCTTTATCATAGAATCGTAGAGTTGGCAGGGACCCCGAGGGTCATCCAGTCCAACCCCTTGCAACTGAAGCATCCATGGCAAGTGGCCAACCCACTTCTGCTTAAAAACCTCCAAGGAACCACCTTCCAAGGGAGTCTGTTCCCATTGTTGAACAGCTCTTACTGTCTAGGGCTGCTCCTGGTATGCCCCGTGGAGGACCTTAAGGTCCACAAATGACAATATTTTGGAGGTCACAAGTCACAAGGTGGTTAGATTGGTCTCAACTAGGGCCAGGGCCTTTTCAGTACAGTGGTACCTTGGGTTAAGGACTTAATTCGTTCCGGAGGTCCGTACTTAACCTGAAACTGTTCTTAACCTGAAGCACCACTTTAGCTAATGGGGCCTCCTGCTGCTGCCGCGCCGCCGGAGCACAATTTCTATTCTCATCCTGAAGCAAAGTTCTTAACCTGAAGCACTATTTCTGGGTTAGCGGAGTCTGTAACCTGAAGCGTATGTAACCCGAGGTACCGCTGTACTGGCCCCGACTTGGTGGAACGCTCTGTCACAAGAGACCAGGACCCTGCAGGACTTGACATCTTTCTGCAGGGCCTGCAAGACAGAGCTGGTCCGCCTGGCCTTTGGTTTGGACTCAGTCTGACCCTTATGTTTCCCTTCCCTAATGGTTTTGATCTATGGGCTACTTTTAAAATGAGGCTGGATTTTAAACTGCATTTTAACCTGTATTTTAAATTGGTCCCTCCCCATTATGTATTTACTGTAATTTTTACTGTTGTTAGCCGCCCTGAGCCTGGCTCTGCCCAGGGAGGGTGGGGTATAAATAAAACAACTTCTTCTTCTTTTACTTCTTCTTCTTCTTCTTCTTCTTTGCAGAATTTTCTAGACATAGGCGGAATACAGCAGTTGGAAACAGTGTCCGTGTGGGAATCGGTGAGATGTATCCATGTCAAGAATTTCCTTGTTTTGCTTTTTTTTTATTATTTTTTAAATGATATATATTAAAGTTTCAGAAAAAGAATTTCCTTGTTTTGCATTCAGATTTTCACTTCTTGAAATAGGGCAACTCTATTACTTCCAGAAAGTTCTTCCTGAAGTTGGGTCAGAAACTCATTTCTTGTCATTTGAAGCCATTGGTTCGAGTCCGACCACAGAGCAGCAGGAAAAAAAGCTCGCTCCATTTTCCATGCGACAGCCCTTCAGATATTGGAAGATGGCCGTTATATGACTTCTCAGTCTTCTCTTATCCAGGCTATAAATTTTTTGGAAGCTGCTGGCTGTCTGGTTGGGGACCAATGAATAATCAATAATAAGCAGAAAACATATAATTCTTCTTCTTTTGTTTGGGGTGTGCGCATGCATGGTGTTTTCCTGAACATAAAAGTTTGTCCCAGCTGATGAATTTTCATCAGCTGAAGGCAAAGGAAAAGAAGAGAAGAGAGATTAGCCTGAGGCGTTCAACTTTTGGAGTTTCTTGCACCTCAGGCACGAAGCAATTTGGTCCATTTTTCTCTGTAAGAGGATAAAAAACCCTAGCATTTATTATTTGACTTGGGGCCAAGCTGCTTCCATTGATGTAAACCCAGGATCATTCCACCTGTTTTTATTTTATCTTCTGGGGGTCAGGATGTTTTGGATTGTTAAAAGAATTCTAAGGTCTCAAATATAAAATGAATGTTCCTAAGTGCACAAGGTAAACACAGATACATAAGTATATAAACCACATGTCTGAAATAGTACAGGAGAGCAATCCTGAAAATATCTTGGCTCTCCTAAAGACTATAGATGTTTCCTCTGCCCCAGGAAATACTTTGGGGAAACCTTTCCCAATGTAGTTCTTTCACTTACAAATCCTACAAATCCTGCCTTTTGTGTATGAATCCGGTAGGCCTGCGAGCTGGATTCAAGAACTAAAGTATTTACTATCTCAAAAGACTGGCCCAGACTCACCAGATAATGCAACCAGTGACCATTATCATATACCTTGGCAGACAGGAGAGAAGCCACTCTCTCAAATTTCTGTTGTAGACGGCCTCTTTCTGTGACACGTGTATGATGCCTTTTGGCTGGCCTTTGGCTAAGGGGTTGGGCAATTTCAGAAGTCTTTAAGCTGGGGTCAGCAAACTTTTTCAGCGGGGGGCCAGTCCACTGTCCCTCAACCCATGTGGGGGGCCGGAATATATGGGGGGGGGGGAATGAATGAATTCCTATGCCCCACAAATAACCCAGATGCATTTTAAATAAAAGCACACATTCTACTCATGTAAAAAACACAGGCAGGCCCCACAAATAACCCAGAGATGTATTTTAAATAAAAAGACACATTCTACTCATGTAAAGAACGCTGATTCCTGGACTGTCCATGGGCCAGATTTAGAAGGTGATTGGGCCGGATCCGGCCCCCGGGCCTTAGTTTGCCTACCCATGCTTTAAAGGTTCTTGCATACCTTCGTTCTGGGTCCTCACCTCCTTGCAAGTGGTGGTGGGGCTCTGTTGCAACAGAAAAATAAATATCTTCCTTCCTTTCACCGGATCCTGCCTGCATTCCATTTTCTCTGACTGATCATGAATTTAGGGGGACGGAATCCCTGGATGGAAAGTTGGGCTGTAAAAGCCAACCCCGAATTTTTCTGTAACGAGATGTTGTTGGTCCAGGGGGCTGGCTGAAGCTTAGAGACAAAGTGAGTCCCTTGTCAGTCTCAGGCTGCCCTGCTATGCCAGGCTGGGGAGTTGAAACGCAGGTGGATGTGATGGGGAAACCAACATGGACGAGAAGGAGGCTGAGAACGGAGAAATGAAAAACAGAGAGAAACTGAAATTGACAAATTTGTGTCTATTGGTCCTGCACAACAGTTGGAACCCTGCAGATTTAGTTGTAACAGACCTGGGCCGATTTGATGTTTTCCTCCATGGAAACCAGCCGGTCCTTGGTCTTGGAACCAGTTTGCATAACCCATGTTCCTTCCTTCTGGGAAAGAAAGAGAATGCAAATACAGGTTAATTGGCAGGACCTCTTAAGTCTAACTCTCTCTGGTTTTGCCCAGCTTTCATTAAGTGTTTTCCCGCACTCTTCCTTTGGGCGATAGGAAGAAAATGCCAATTGCCGACTCGTTAATTAAGGAGGCAGCTTTTCTTCCAGGAGAGGGGTGTGTGTGTGTGTGTGTGTGTTTTCCCCAATAGTGGTTTTTCACTTCTTTTGCAGGAGTAAGAGAGAAAGATCAAGATTAATCCAGCCTGTGATGAAGCAAGATCCAGCACCCAGCTGGAGGAGTCTTGCCTGGACTGGTTCTGGTGAGCTGGCGCAGGAGGGCTGGTGTTTGCTGAGTGCCCAAGAAGCTGAGACGACACATCCTTGTTTTGATCCCTCGTCATCACATCTGGCAAAACTCGTCTTTGAGAAGCTTCTCTGTTTGAGCTTGCAGATCCAATATGGGTAGCAGCTGGGCCTCAGGGAGTATCCTAAGGTGGCAATAATAATAATTTCATTATTTGTACCCTGCCCATCTGACTGGGTTGCTGTTTGAAATTGGCTGGCTGTCCTCCTGTTTAAGGGCGTAAGTCCAGTGTAAAGGAACCCTGAGAAAAGCCCTGTTGCTAGAAAATAGACCACTTTTTATGTACAGAACAGTAGCAGCCAGGATCTTAATTGCAAGAAACTGGAAAAGTGACAAAACACCTACGATAAATGAGTGGCAGGTCCAAATGATAGAATATCTACAGATGGCCATGATGACAGGGAGAATTAGAGGGTATCCAAAACAGAAATTACAGAAATTACAGAAAGAATGGAAAATCTTTAAAGAGTATTTGGAAAAGCATTACAATAACAAATATCTCCTGGCAGAAATGGAATGATCCTTGTAAAACAACAAATATAATGTTTTTTTGATATCTGATGAAAACAAAGAAAGAAATACAATAACTTGGAACTGTGTGTGAAAAAATTGTAGAAATAATCGGAAGCCAAATGTGTTTGTTTTGCTTAGTCTTCCTTTTCCTTTTTTTTCTTTTCCCCCTTCCCCTCATCCCCCCCCCCTTCATTTTCCTTTTCCTTTTTCCTTTTTTGTGTGTCTCCTTTCTTGGTCTTTCTCTTTTTGATATGTTAAGAAAGAGTTAAAGAGATAAAAGTGTAATATGAAAACTTCAGTAAGTTAAAAGCGTTTTTGTGTAATTTTTCTATTAAGATTTATATATTGTTAAAATTGGTTAATTGTAATGAATTGATGCAGCAACTACTGTGGTTTTCTTCCCTTTGTTATTGTTAAATTCTAAATTTTTGGGATTATTCCATTCCAAAAAAAAAGAGAGAAAAGCCCTGATGCTATCATCATCATCATCATCATCTTCTTCTTCTTCTTCTTCTTCTTATCATATTTTCTCTAAGGAGCTCATAGTGGCAAACACAGTTCTGTCCCTCTCCATTGTATCCTCAGAGCAGCCCTGCAACTGAGGGGGGATTTGAACTCTGGCCTCCGAGGTTCTAGTCCGATGCTCTAACCACTGCACCACACTGACTCTCAGCAGTGAGCCATCGCCATTGAGCACCTGGGCAAAGGATTGGGAAGGCACCTTGTGGAGCAGAAAAGACTGCTTATGTACACAACGGCAGCTGCCATAATGCTTTTAGCCCAGAGATGGAACGATGATAAAGTCCCTACCAGAGAAGAACAACAGGCCAACCTGATGGACTGTGCAGAGATGGCAAAATGACTGTTAGGTCCAGTCGTGGATGACTCTGGGGTTGCGGCGCTCATCTCGCTTAACTGGCTGAGGGAGCCGGCGTACAGCTTCCGGGTCATGTGGCCAGCATGACTAAGCCACTTCTGGCGAACCAGAGCAGCGCACGGAAACGGCGTTTACCTTCCCACCAGAGCAGTACCTATTTATCTACTTGCACTTTGACGTACTTTCGAACTGCTAGGTTGGCAGGAGCAGGGACCGAGCGACGGGAGCTCACCCCGTCACGGGGATTTGAACCGCTGACCTTCTGATCGGCAAGTCCTAGGCTCTGTGGTTTAACCCACAGCGCCACCCACGTCCCCTAGGAAGGATATTAATAAGCAATATATCCTCTCCTGCCTCCCTGAACATTCCCACACTTGGGACCCCTTCCAACGTGACAATTCTATGATTCCATTATTTTTACATTCCTATGTACTACAGGAAATGTATGGTGAGTTTCTAAAACAACAGAGCCATTCTTTCTAATTTTGCATAGAGACATTTAAATCAGCACGTGCAAATGTTATGCCAAATCTGTGTCCTCTTTTTTGACAATGCAGAAGTAGCCTTCCTGGAATATCCTTAACAAAAAGCCACAAAGACTGGGGAAACAAGGAGTTCATTTATGCAGAGTCCATTGGAGCACATCTTGCCTGGGATCACTTGTTCTGATTGATTGCAGCTCTCCAGGGCTCCAGGTATTTACAACCTGCTAACTTAAACCCTTGTTGACCTGGAAATGCCAGGAACTGAACCTCAGACCTTCTGCATGCTCAACCGCTGAGATACGGATCCTTCCTTATTTCGACAAATGCTCTGCTTGGACTTTGAATGGGGAAGAAAGCAGGAAACCCAAGAGGCACGGCTCGGATAGGAAGGCTGGAGCGCAGAAAGCGACAGGAGGGCTGCTAGATCTCATGGGCTTCAGAGAATGAGAAGAGATGGCTGCATCAGGCCAGGGGCCCATCTGGTCAAGCAGCCTGCTCTCACAGTGGCCAAACTCTGGGAAACCAGCAAGCAACATTCGAGGGCAAGAGCTCTCTCTTCTCCTGTGGTCTTCACCAACTGGTATTCAGAAGCATCACCATGGATTTGCCTAATCCTCTTTCAAAGCTATCCAGGTTGGTGACCATCACTTCCTCAAGTGGGAGAGAGTTCCACAGGTTAACCATGCGCCATGTGATTAAGGACTTCCTTCTGCCTGTCTGGAATCGCCCAACGCTCAG